CGCTGCACCTTTGGATCCGAATGCTGTGAAGTTTTGCACACTACGGCAATTGCCGCTAGAGGTCTCAACGATGATGATTAGAGACAACTTCGTTTATCGCTAAGTAATGTACAAATGAACGCGACATTAGTGACAGCATAACACCGCCATATAACTGAATGCTTAGCAGGGTCCCTGATCCCAAAGCTACCCCTGCAAAATATTCGGAACAATAAAGAACAGCTGTCAAATCAGAATGCGTATTTTCGCGTCCAGGTGGCCAATCAGTGGTCAGCCCACATGCTACTATAGCTAGCGAGCGCTAGCGGACTGGAGGTCGGATCCTGCCGTCAAATACAGTTCAGGGGAGAAGGGCGCCACTCAGCAGAGAACCTGCTTGCAAACGAGGCGGGCCTCTCGCGATGGGTACATTCTTGAACGCCGCCAGAGACCCCTTAAAGTAGGCCAGTCGGGGTTATTCTCGGCAACTAGCGAGATACTTGCTTTGCGAGTGATTTGCGAGCAGAGGCTCATTTACCAGTCAGCGGGTGCAAGAGCGTCAATTTGTATGCTTTCAGGGGCGGGGCTACCCGCCCCCTCTCTCCCAATGCCATTGGAGCCCCCTTGAGTGAATATGAGCACATATAGAATAATGTACCAAAGGAGTGGAGATCAATTTATGTTGGTCATAGCCCTCTCGATTGACCACGGTGATACGTCGCATCGCAGCTGAAGATAGCTTTGAGCTTTTGGAGGTCCTCCCTCGAGGATGGCGTCAGACCGATAGTGATAAAGTGCTCTGAGAACGTGTTGACAAAGTGCTTGTTCTCGTCCTTAGATGCTTCTTACCGCAGCATGGTTTGACGGAGGCGCGATCACAGACGACTGATATTGTTTTTACCACCTTTTGCCATTGAATGGTCATTCGAGTATTACTACAATATTGATTGCACTAGAGATAGCGCTTGTAGCTATTGATTAAAACGCGTGTTAGCTTTCAACCGGATCACCTTGCATTAGCGGCAATGTCATATAAACTTTGTTTATGTCTGCTTGTGTCGCCTTGCCTGTATACTGTGCATTGTTGTCTTCTTTTTACGTTTTTTTGTGAGCTTGATGCTTTGTTTAAACGAGAACTTGCGGCACAATCAGCAGACTTCCACCAACACTCCGTGTATGTTGGGCGTGTATCTGGTAACATGCATGGGTACTGTAAGATGTCTACGTTCATTCGACTGGGAATCAGAAGATAATCACGCTGTTCTTCCCATTTGTGATTAATGACCGTTCTTAGTATGCATAGGTCGTGAGGAATGGTGATGCAGTATGATTTGGGCGTAAAATATATTTTTACACAAAAATTAGCCCAAACCTTAAGGATAGGTATATTTCTGGGAGGAGCGCCCATGCTGAGCAGCACCTGTTAGGTGACCCGACCGACCATAAAATTGCGGATAAGCCCATCCACAGCCGTCGTGCGCTCTGACGTCACCTGGCCGTTTGCACGGTCGCTGTCACCGCCCGCAGGCTTTTTCAGCCAGGGATACATGACGAGCACCCACAGCGATTCGAACCCACGCCGCCACAGGTGTGTGAACTGGAAGGCAGGTGCTTCAACCCGCTGAGGTATGGGGGCGGACTTAAAATGTGCATCCCAGCTTTTTTTTAATTTTTTGCTTATTGTTGCATGGAACGAGTACGTCTTGACTAGAAATGCCCGTTTTCTCGGAGTTCTTCTCCACGGCTCAGGATTTGAAGTAGCCACTCCCGTGTGAGAAATATCATCATATCAAATACATCATCATCATACGTCATATCATACATCATATCAAAAACTCTCTGCTTGCCACTATGAACGCAATACATTTCATTTACCTCGCTTTCTGTAACGCGTGTGTTCCGCGATGTTTGCAACACACGAGTGTGTCAAAATGTTTGTGCAATAATCTCTACAAAAGTTTGGGACAATTTGGTTGGACAAAAATATGTGAAACCATGAAGCAATTATCCGCAAATACCACGGAACGTCACGCTATGGCTGTTATTTCTCCCCTTATCCATGACGTTAACTGCAGGGACACTTTTCGAGGTACACTTGGGTGCGCACAGCAGTTGTCATGACGACGACGGTCGCGACTGCAGGGGAGAAGCGTAGTGTTGTTACAAAGCGTTGACAGCGTAATTTGAGCTTAAAAATGATTAAAATTGATATATGTATGTCTGGACGGCACTGCACTGGCACTACCCAGTGTCTTTGTTAGACATAATTGGTCCCGAGGCTTCACCTGAGTATACTTTTGAAATATGCCTCAAAAGTGGGACACCCCTTAAGCACATTGAGAACGGGACAATTGAATCTACGCTGCGCCGTTGCACTCTTCACCCGATTGTGCCGCAAAAATGGTAGCAAAGAATGAAATTAACGTATTGTGTGCGGTGTATTCCAAAGTGACGGGAATGTGGGGGCGACGTTGACCTTTTGCGAAAAGACCTGGCCGTGAGCAGAGTATCAGAACGTCGAGTTTCCACAACATAACCGATCATTTTTATAACGTCATTTATCCAGTGCCTCAAAGGACTACCGCACGGCTATTTTCAACATAAAATTCCCAATTCGTCTCCTCGAAACGCTAATATTCAAGATTTTCCTGGCTTATATCAACTCCCATCCGGTGTGAACACATTTGCCACGCTATCCTTACGACGGCTGCCCTGGAGACCAATTGGGTCAATTGTCATTGCCTGCTCTTTCTCTTCAGCTATCTGCATATCTGCTGAAAAGGTCGTGCCACTTCAGTTTTACTTTTGTGTGTATGTGCATCGTGAGTGTACTCAAACATTTCCACAGGTTCTCGTCGGCATGTCTCGGGCCACGTTGTCCTGCATAAAACCGCCTTGTTCGCACCTCGGGCCGCCTTCGGCGATCGATGACAGACACCTATGTTCGTTAGTCATAAAGGCTCCAGCTACTAAGATGCTATTCTGCGAATTACACCCCAGTGTGTGTCATTGTGCCTTAACGGCGCACTCAGCTGTTGAGGCTATGTGATGTTGCATGCCTCTCCCTTGGGAGGAAGGGCGGGTACCGCGATGAATCGAGCCCTGTACCTCCGGTTCCCCAGACACGCAGTGGCTATTGAGGGCTCATTAACCACTACACTGTCGGTACCCCAAGTACAACCCATTCTAAGTCACAGTAAATCGCAGCTTCACATCGCCTTCAAACGGAAAGTCATACCTGCACAGCAAACACATTTGGAATCCACGAAATATCTCATTCTTTCATATCAATAGCGTGCACGCAAATTAAAGTGACCGAAATCCGGAGAGATCCATTTGGGGGTGGGGCGGTGGGGGGGGGGGGGGTAGGTTAGGTCAATTTTATCGGATCAGCCCCCGCCCTAACCGGCTTTAGAAATAGACCAAGCTTTAAACAGTTGGGTTCTCCGCGCAGTGTGGAGGAATGCAAGCTCGTTCCTTCCGCCGCTTCTCCTTCCGTTTCTTTCCGCCCCCCCCCCCCCCCTCTACTTTTATGCCGGGCCTGGGTTCCTCCACACTCAGCGCGCCGTTACACCTCCGTTAGGCCCCGCCCTGTACATTTGTGGACCTTGTCGGCTGAATGGAAGTTCCTTGACGGTTCATTACCCATGGTGACTGGCTGCGGAGCTCAGCACGCCCGTCAGAGGAGGAGGGGGAGGAGAGGAGGAGGAGAAAACTGTTGTCACACCAGCCATTAGCCATCTCAGGAGCAATGCATGCATCACTTGAAATCTCAATTTTCTGTGCATTTAACATTTTGTGGCAGTGGAGCTTCTAAACAGGCCACCATGCCAGCCTGTGAGAGTCTAGGATCACCTCACCCTGCTGTAGAACCTCACCATCCTCTCCTAGATGTCTTAACGGTCCAAGTTACACACTCTCCTCAGCACCCTACTGCCCAAGTTAACTCTCCTCAATATCTAACTGTCCAAGCTGCACACTCTCCTGGGTATGCAACTGTCCAAATTACACTTGCCTGGATATCTTACTGTCCAAGTCACACAACCAGCAAAATATGTAAAAATCACAACCCTATCTGTTATGTTTCTAGGAGCTACAGCTGCTGCAATGGCCACTTTCCCTGACACCCACTTTGAAGTGGCAGCAGCCCTGATAACAAACTACATGGATAACCGATAGCTGTATTGTTCACAACACATCAAATGAAACCAGTAGCAGCACCAAGCTCTGGTGACAACCATCAGCCACATCATTCATGACATAACATCAAGTGAAAGCATATGTGGTGACAAGCTCCAGTGACAAACGGGTGAACCGTTTGTTTGGAAATGTCAGCAGCAAGCATTCACATACTTCTGTGCACCACTGCAGGCATGCAGCTACATGAGAACAGCACACAAATTATGCTGGAGTGGCTGCAGTAAACAATGCTTACACATCATGCTACAGTCATCTAAATAGCTATGTTAGACCAAAAATCAACATCTAACAAACGCAACTTAACATAAGATGCACCACAAAACTTGGCACCGCACACATCAGCCAAGGGATCAGCAAACTCATTTTAAAAACACACAAATGGAAAACAACAAAGGCAGCCAGCACCATGCAAAAATGGATGAACACAAATCATGCAGAACTGGCATATCTTCTGCAATGGTGCCAGCATGGGTAAGGTGGATTAGCACACAAAGCAACACACACAGCTTCCTCATGTTAAGCACCCAGCCCCATAACAGAAAATAATAGCTGTGGTTGATATAAGAACATTTGCTCAGTTCTGATTCACTTCCACAAATTATATACACACAATGCTGCAATGTTACCATCAAACATCCAGTTTTACATTAGGGTTGCAGATAGTGCCACACCAGCAACTGCACCAGTGCATAGTTCTATTCACTTTCACTGTAGCGTTTTGAAGTGAGTAGAAATCAATTCTGGTCAATTGCAAGCTATTTTCTATTCAACTTGTGCCAACACAACAGCCAAGTATGCGCTTTTGTTGCAGCTATACTCACTTGCCCAGCTCCTCCTTCAAGTCGTAATTATCACTGAACTTTGTAGTAGCCAAGGACGCCATGTTCCAGCACACCAGCTCTGCCTCGCTGTTCGAGAACGGTTATCTACTTAGCGCACCTCACTATGTCCAACACATCGGTCCGTTCGGCTGGCGGGTTCACGGGTGAAGCCCCAGCAGACGAGATCCCGCGCAGAAGCCCGTTGTTTCCTCGCGAATCCACCTCGTACTGAGCCAAAAAATAGTATCCTCGTGCAACGATGTATCCAGTGAGCATTCCACGCTATGGGCTGCCTTTTAACACCGAGATCACGCTCCGCAGGGCCGCTGACGCACCCCCACAGCCTCTCGGCGCCCCCTGCGATCTGCAGACACAACCGCCAAGGTCGAGCTTGCTGAGCGTGCCCCATCGATTCCTGAGGCAGCCACTAATAGACTGCCTACATGCCCCAAGAAGCTGCCTCAGGTGAAACCAAGGCATACATGATACATTTAGTGTTCTGCTCGATGTATACAAAAAAGATTTTCAGCCAGTCGCGGGTACAGGGGGTTCAACGGGTCCATGCCCGCTTGGGCTTCGATGGGGCTCATAGGCTCCGAATAGGTCCTTAGCCGGACGAACAGACGAACAGGCGCAGTTTTGTATACAAAACGCAGTAAAGTTGGATGTTTTTTGGCCTCAAAGCGACCAAGAACTGCCACAACCGAAAGCAACGTACCCAGAAACAGACCAAAACTTTTGCTGACTGAGAGGGTGGAGATTGGGGAGATTTTAAGGCTCATCACACAGTCCAGAGGCCTTATGCTGTTACACTTGGTTTATTTGAATTTGCTCGGAGGCTCCTAGCTGTTGTAGGGGTCGTAGCTACTGGCACACCAGGCACTTTTGTCGATCAGGAGCCCTCCACGGATTCTTAACATTTCCTCGAAAGGCTCTGTACGCTATAGTCGGGGCCCCATATGTTAACCTGCCGGGATACTCTCGGTTGTTTAGGGCCCCTCCACATTGGCCTCAATTAACAAACCGACACACCCACGGTGTGCTCATCGGCCCTCTACATTGGTCTAGGGCCCTTTCAATTTCCTGTTACCTGGAGAGGGCACCACGCCCTTGTCGAGGGCCCCACCTGGTGGTCGGCTTCGGCACACTCGATCGCTCGGGTGCCCTCTACATTATGTTTTAGGTACTCCTAATGTGCTTGGAGTGCCTTCACTTTTGTCACGGACCCATCTGTTGACCTGCTCGGGCACACTTGATCGTTCGTGGGTCCTCTACATTGGGTTCGTCTTGTATATTTTTTAATTTGCTTCGAGGGCGCTTCGCTCTTGTCGAGCCCTCTATCTGTTAAGTTGCTCAGGCCAGTGGCGGATCCGGAGGGGGACACGGGGATATGGCTCTCTGGGGTGCCAAAGGGTCTGAAAGGCTCTGAAGGGACCCATAACCGGTCGAACGGACGCAGTTTTCCAACACAAAACACGACCAGCTTGAACATCTTTGGGCCTTCAGCGACCAGGAACAGTCACAAGCGAAAGTGGAGGGCCCGTGAGCAGACGGGTGGCAATTTGGGGAGATTTTGAGACTGCTTACGCTGTCCCGAAACCCTACACTGCTGTGGGAGGGCCTTATATGTTAGCCCGCAGGGGTGCTCTCGATTACTAAGGGCCATTCACATTTGTCTCGGGTTCTTTCGACTTGCTCGGAGGGTGATGCGCTGTTGCTGGGGCCTCTATAGGTTAGCGCATCGAGGCGCTCGATGCCCCGGGGCCCTCTACATTGGCCTAGGGCTTTTTCTCTCTGACCTCGTTTGCGGAGGACGTTTCAGTCATGCCAGGACCCTTTCTGTTGACCTGCCCGGGCACCCTTGATCGCGCATGGGCATGCTTCGATGGCCTGGGGCACTTAACATCTATTCGGAGCACCCTGACCTTTCGTCCAGGGCCCCATATGCTCATATGCCGAGGCATTCACGAAACCCCAAGGGAATTAAACGAAATGTTCCACATTTGGAGGAGCTGAAGTCACCAGATATGATAAAATAAGGTCATTCATAACTACTGGCATATTTTTTAGACTCTTCTAGGCAACACGATTTCTCTCTTAAGTAAATATATTGTCAATACGTCATTGTTTGATTGAGTCATCGTATCTTGCACAACATTGATCGAGAGCTAATTGACGGCCGTAATATCTGGGAATTGTACTTATGATCGCCAGATATGATCGATTGGACAGTTCTATTTTTCCCGGCCTTGATCGCCGCATGGCTGATAAAATAGCAAGATTTGAATGGCAATACTGTGTCATAGATGCCTTAGTGACCTCGAAATAGTCTCCTTGAAATAGTCTGCACATATTCGCAAGCGTGTAGCTTAGAAACTATAGGGGTTTAAATCTTAAGAAGTGCATCTCAAATTGATGGCTTTGAAGTGGTGCCACATGATCTTCAAGATGGTTTTTCAGAAATTTAGATGTAGACCACTCCCTTTCATCCATGCACGTGGGCCTTAAGTTTTTCCTGTTTGCTGAGAGGCACTGCGCTCTGGCCGGGGACCCATATGTTTACCGGCCGGGGCACTCCCAACCGTTCAGGGGCCCGCCACATTGATCTTGGCTTCTTCTCGCTTTCTCTGAGGACCCAACACTGCTAATCGCGGGGCACAAACCTTTCCGCTGCTGTCGACCGCGGCACCCTCGATCGCTCAGATTACACCCTGTTGGTCTTGAATTTCCCCATTTTGCCGGAGGGCTTACGCTGTTGCGGGATCTACATGTTGATCGGCCGACGCACTCTGGATCGCTACGGGGCCCTCCAAATTGGTCTTGGGCTCTTCCGATGAAGTGAGAAGGGTCCTTCTCTGTTCTCGTTAACCTCACATTGGCCTGCGAGCGCGAGGGCGTTTCGTTGCCTCGTGTGTATGGGGCCTGGCTAAATCACTGCTTGCTTACAAATCCGAGATCTAGACGATGAAGATTTTGTCTTGGCACCCCAGCCTTAGATTCGTAGCTGAATATGTACCAATGAACTTTTACGCGCAATCATTACACAAAATTTTACGCGCTGTCGACGTCGGAGTTGCCATTTTCACCAGTCATGGCAAAACGCTTCTGACGTCTCTGTGACATCATGCATCTAGGAGAGACTTCAGAGGTGCAGCTCCAGATAGACTGCGTAAGACCGAACTTGCTTAGCTCAAAAACTCAGGTTCTGAAGCCGTGCGAAGGGCATGCCTGTGAACTGGAGGGAATTATCTCGAAAAATGTCTCTCTCAGTTTAAAACCAATTCAAACGTGAAACAGTCTTATTTACACAGCATAGTCCTTGCTACAAAGAACACAAATTATGTTTTCACTGGCGTCGACCAGCAGGTGCTGCCACCTGCCGACCAGTCATGAGGACTACGGGACGGGGAAACCGGTCGGGCTTTGTACTCACGAGGGACGGAAGGACATGGATAGCGCTGTCGTTGTGCGCTTGCGCAGAGCCCCAACTCCCGGCGGATGGCGAATAGCTTTGTAGTCTGAAACACTCTTCTACCAACGTTTTTGATAAGCACGAGGCTTTGCCCCGCGTGGGAGTGGAAGAGAAGGGAGATGAAGAAGCGCTTCGCTCGCGACGTCCGAGGCATACCTTATCGCAGTCGAGCCTTACGAACTCATGAAATGAAGCCTCAATAACAAGGGGCGTGCTCGTGAGGTCAGGGTCGGACGCGCTTGGTTGAACAGGAAAGGTCCAAGGGGGAAAGGTTTGTCTATCGGGGTCGAGCAAGGAACCTGCCTCCACAGCGGTACTTCCTCCCCCGAAGGTCAGTGGAAGCTCCTCCAAGACAACATGCGGTTGATGTGGGCTCCCCAATGGATCCCCTCCACCACGACTTTGGACTACAGTTACTCCTAACAAGCGTGCTGCAGTGCCTTCCTCCCCTCCTCCTAAGCTGTCGTCACCATCCGACTGTGGCAGTCCCCGGATCTGTCCCGGACTTGAGCACGGCCCAGGAGAGCTGGACCGTGGCTCGCGGTCCGAGACGCGCAGTCCCGCTTCCGGTGCGGCCCAGCACCACATGCTTTTTACCGCAGCTTACCTTGTGACTGTTCGCGCCACTTTTAAAGTGAGTGTTCCACATTTGAAGATGTTGAAGCAAGCATCAGAATGATGGAATAAACTCACATAACTATTGGTATACTTTTAAGCAGAAAAGACTGATCTAGACCACACAATTTTTCCGTTAAGTAGATATCCTCCGTAATGCGTCATGGTTTGATGACGTCATCGCACCTTATGTAACGTTGATTGATAGCCAATTAACGGCCGTTTTTATCTGCAAATGGTACTCATGAACGTCAGGTATGTATGGCTCAACAGTTATAGCCTTTTTGGCCTTGACCTTCGTATGGCTAATGGAATAGCGTGGCCCATGCCGTTTATAATGTAATAGTAACGTCATTCAAATCCGGTGTAAACGACGGCACTTTTGCGTCATTGCTACCAGGTTAGACCTTGACATGGTTCTCCCGAAAAGTCCGCACATGTTCGCGGGTGTGTAGCTCAGAGACTAGAGGGGTTTACATCTTAAGAAGGATTGGCCTCTGGGCTGCATCAAATAATCTTCAAGATGGTTATGCTAGTCCAAAACCCCATACAAATGTGAAACACTCCTCAGCTTCGCAAACACGACATAGGGATGGTTGCACGCATCACACTGGTTCATCTAGCCTCTTCGCTACTGACAACAGAGATAATTAAACTTGGATGACCTCATATGGCCTTGCGTGGCCTCATTTACCTATTTTGGCCTTATTATGCATTAAAATGATATCACAACATGCTTTCAGTGGAATAGCAGAACTCTGCGCTCAAAAGTACCTGAAAAGTTGTTTACTTTGAGCTCAGTATGGGTTTTGCAGAAGGCACCGATAGAGGCAGGTCATGATGTGGGCCAAGGCCATGTCCTCTGTGGTCATATGGCAGTTGGACATGGGAAAAGGTACTCTTTTTCTCATACACAAACACGAAACGTGCACAAAAATGCGTACCAACATGCATCATCTACAAACACAGCAAAAATTGACCTGACCCCTGGTCACTGATCTTGCCTGTTTAAAAAATCTGAAATATGAAAACTGTATGTATCACCATATTTTAAATTCTAGCATGATTGAACGATGGCTAATAATCCACAATTAGTGATTTGTGGTCAAAGTCTTTTAGGAGGTTGACTTATGCGACCTTACCTAGGTCACTAACCTTGCTAGATCACGATTTCAAAATTACTCAGAGGATGCCAAATTGACAGGTAAAAGACACTGAAAATTTGGTGTTGCTGCCAGCGTTTGTTTTTTAGCTGTTCTCGAAAAACCGTTGGCGGGAGTAAACTTCCTCCGGTCGAGTGCTGGTTCCCCCCCCTCCCTCACCCCCCCCCACAGCCATGCGTTCTCACAGTGGAACACTACAAGCCTAAGGGTGAACAGCCAGGACCTGCCGGCAGTATTCGGCCCGCACTCTCCTCAGGACATCAAGTTGACGCCGGACTCGCATTGCTGAACCAGTGGATACAATGTGTTTCGTAAGGATTGCTGGCCGATGTCATCGGGCAAGGCGGCGTTTTGCTGTCCGCGCATCGCAGCGTGCCAGTGAGGAAGCGGACCGTCCAGACGATCCTTCGGGCCGTGACAGCACGCCTGCGCTTTAATTCCTGATCCCTCACTGTCTGTTCACTGTACTTGCCCCACTGGCGTCGCTTTTACGGCGATACGGATCAGATGCCTTACCTGTGAGTCGCCCTGTCAGTCATGATCTTGGGAGATTTCGACGCTCATCATACGATGTGGAGTTGCGCTGGCGTGAACACGCGTGGTCGGCTCTGCGAAGCTCTTATTCACGACGCATCGTTATGGTTCTTACACACAAGAACACGAACTCAACATACTCTTCCGCTGGTCGGACATCAGCCCTCAATCTCAGCCTGTCCGGTCCTGAGCTGGCCAGTAATGGACGACTCTCTCGGTGGCGGCCACTCTCCGGTGTGGCCATTGTATCGAGACGGAGACATTCTTGGCACCAGACCGAGGAGATGGAACTTTTAAAAAGCCGACTGGAATGGGTTCGTGCCGAGACTCGAAACATCCATTTTAATCAGGGCCGAGTGCCCATCCACTTCATTTGAGGATATTACAGCTCTGATCTTAGGCTCTGCTCCTGTATGCATACTTCGCACGTCTGGAGCTCCTTGTTGCACGCCTGTCCCTGACTGTGGAGTGTCGAGACGTGCTCACGCAAACGGGTATTTTGTGTATTGGACCGTTACAACACCGCGGCAACATGACGAATCTTAAGAAGGCAAAGACGGTTGCTCGGTGTGCCATTAACATGCTTCTTGGTGCTCGTACGTCAGTCCCGTGGACAGTCTCATCTGGACTTCACTGGTCTGGTCCAGAACAAAACGAGCATTGGGGGAGTATAGGCCAGTCCCATTTCCGCTACTGCAAGTTGGTGATGAAAACGTGACACACTGGACTGACGTCACCAACAATGTTGACCGAGCGCTGCCTGCGCGAAGTAAGGGTGAAGACTCGAAGCCACATTTCGTGTGCCACATAGCCCTGCGCGAGAAAGTCATCCCCGATTTCTTTCCACCCATACAACCGGCATTCAACAAGGCTTTCACGATGATGGAATTAATGTCCGCAGTCCAGTCTTTGAAAGATGTGTCGGAAGGTTCACATGAAGCTCAAAACTACATGCCTCAACACTTGCCAGCCTGCACGTTAGAGACACAGCTTGCGTTTTTTAACGTCCTGTTGGAAAGGTGAATTTTCCAGTGGCCTGGCGGCAAGCCATTCTGGCCCCATTTTCGAAACCTGTGAAGATCAGTTTGAGTGCACTTTATTACCGCCCACTCGCCTTTACATCATTCCTCTGCAAGGTAATGGAGAACATCGCACATGTTCAACTGTTGTGGTTTTTAGAGTACCACCGCAGTCTTCCCAACGTGCAAAGCGGTTTCAGAAAACATCGTAGCACCATCGAACATACTCTAACCCTGGACACCGTCATTCACACCGGTTTTAACGACAGCCGACGCGTGGAGGCCGTGTTCTTCGACATGGCAGCAGCTTATGACACCGCCTGGCAGCACGGAATTCTTTTGCAGTTTTTTTTAACTAGATACACTATTCGTGATTCTATGTGTATTTCTTGAAAAAACCTTCTTGCTGATCACGCTTTTCGAGTCCGCGTCGGAAGCCATCTGTCGAGAAGTTTCCCCGCAGTAGACGGCTTCCAACAGGGGAGCATGTTGAGTGTGGCACTGTTTGCAGTAGCCATCAACGATGTCGGTGATGCCCTCCCACGATCCATTGGCCGTTCATGACATCTTGAGACATCATCGCTTTGCGTTGATGTCTTTGTAGTACAGTGTAAAGCCTCCAGCCGTCATCCACAGGGAGGCAACTGCAGTTGGCCCTATCCCGTTTGGAGGAGTGGAGTATGTGAATGGGTTCCGATCCGCTACTGCTAAAACCACCATTCATTTTACCCGGCGCCAGCAACGTGCTAATATTGATCTGCAAGTCTATGGTAAAAGTGTTTTCTGGGAGCCGGCTATAAAGTTCTTGGGATGCGATTTGACCGTCGGCTCACGTGCAAATGGCGCCTCAATGCGCTGCGTCACAGATGCTTTAGATATTTAAATTTCTTGAAGTGCGTGTCACGCGCTTCTTGCGGTGCTGATAAGAGCAGAGTCAGGCTTTTATGTCGTTGGCTGATTCTTGCAAAGCTTAACTTGGCACGTTGTTTGTATGGCGGCGCGTGTGATTAAAGCAAGCATTTTTGGACCCAATCCATAACGTATCTCTTTGCACAATCACTGGAGCAGCTCGCACAACGCCAGCCTTTAGCCTCATAGCAGAATCGCAGAGCCAACCCTGTCTTTGCGGAGGAAATTCGCCACACCCTGCGCGCGTATTGAGCTTGCTGCATGAGGGGCCAATGCAGCAGAATGTCCCATCCTGCGTCCGGATCCTTATTGGAGTACACTTTGACGCCTCTTTGGAACTACTCACAAGTTTCACAACGTTCTCAGCCTGTCGCCACCAGTTACATCTACACGGAAATTGTGTGCAGATTACAATGTTTGCCATTAAATTATGGCGCTGCAAACTATGTGCGGTGAGGAGCGTTTGGACTGCATATAAAAGAAATCGAGTGCGGTTATTGCCAGGGATAGTCACCAAAGTATCGGGATTTGTTCAAGGCATTCATGGTCATTTTTGGGATAGTCATTTTTCACATGCAGTTTTAATGCAACGTTCTTAAATAGGACCATACCGTGCACCACACACACTTCCTGAGCCAATGCGTACAAAAAAATCGATAGTTTGTTATTCAAATTGGCCATAAAACAATGTTGTTTTTATGCATTTTTGAGGCTGCCACTCACAAAATCTTCAAAATCAATGCAATACCTTGCAGAATTCCCAACTGGTCAAAACAGTGTGGATTGAGCTTTGATAGCTACATCTTTTGGGCGAACTTCAATATTCTCAAACACGTTGTAGTTATGCTAAGGTGTTTTGTTCGCGACCGCCCGCGCTCAAAGAAGCAGCATCGAAGACACATTATGGTGAGTGGTCATCTCCCGTTCGTTAGCTATGATGTGCGCTACTATTGCTACCTTTTACAGCTGTTACGCGCCAAAATGGTTGGCTAATGGGCGGGGTGGAACTTTAAAATCGGGTGCCGAGAAGGGGCCTGAGTAGATTTGGCGAGCAATATGTGGTGGATTGATCGACGGGGTACCCAGAGCAGTTCCGATCCTGCCTCAAGCGGGAGAGCCAGCTTCTTTGCCTGTGGTAGGGGCCCTTTGATACTGAGGGTTGCACCAGTGTCGTGCGATGAAGCACCGCCAACAATAGCGACATTTTCTTGTGGTTGAATATATGACCGTAAATAATCGTTATGACATGATGCACCACGTCGGCTCTCCAAAATTGTATCAGCAGCGCATGTGCCAGCCGCCACCAAGGCACTTGGACAGATGACGCGCTTTCCCAGCACTGATCTGAGGGTCTCACCATGTGACGACATGCTATTATTGACGACCTGTCCCCCAAATCCAAAATCGTGTGGCCAAACAAGTATCAAAACGAGTATGTATGTTAATTGGGACGTAGTGAATCACTTCTTATAACCATAATTCCGTCTAGCTCTACAAAAGCATGTGAAAGTTTTATTGGTAGGTCCGATCCTTGAAACCACGAGGTTAGTGAGTGTGCGGTATTCGAACGCTACATTATGGCAGTGTTTCGTTCGAAGTCCGGAGGCTTACGACAAGTTGCGAAAATTGGTACTGCTGCAGCTATTGGGAATTTGTTGACGATTTTGTTATTACTTTATAAATTATTGGGAATTTGAACATAATATTTGTTAACAAACATCCTGCTTGTTTTGGGAAAAAGTCTATACCGAAAATGTTCTACATGCATGCATCCAACCGCCAACAAGTATCGTCACTGGTTTCGACGTTTATTTTCAAACCATGCTGCACGAAAATGCTCTGAAGGTCGAGCCAGGCGTTGTGCATCTAAGCACATTATTAGAGATTTATTTCATAAACACCAAGCAACAAACTGGAGTAAGCTACGTGTCAGCTTATCGATCACGTGTCAAACAGTGAATAACATACAAATTCGTCCTGAACAACAACGCAGTCTAAGGAATAAAACAATAACGAATCGCACCGGCAGGAACACCAACATACAACACTGTGGTTCTCACCCTCTAAAATGCACCTAAGCAGCCGACATCAACCACAAAACAACACCGTGTAAGCATTGCGCCCAACATTTGCTGCCCCATCGCCCCAGGTATTGCCATGTATTCAGTCTTTCTTAGTGCGACGAAAGTGACTGGAGCTATCTGTTATGACAGGGAATACCCGATTCTAAGCCATTTTAAGCAAAGCACCGCACCTTCAAGACGACACGAACCTGCTTGCCTCCTCACTGCGCCCTGTCGCCGCGGAAGGGATCGTTGTCGTTGAACATCTGGCGAATGAAGCCGCTGACCTGCGCGTCAGCGGATTTCTGGTCCGGCTCGCCTCTGACGTAATCAAATGACGTCATGTCTGGATTACGCCCGCTGTATGAAAGACCGGCCCTGGTGAAGGAGGCGTCTGGTGAGCTTGGGGCCCGTACATATAAGCGTGGTGTCACGAAGTGACTGTTTCGGGTTAAACTAACTGACTGCACCAGCAACAACACTCATGTAAAAAAATGATTAAAAAATTTTGTGGATGTGTGCCATTTGTTTTGCATAATGATAAACCGATCTCGGAAACCACTACACCGAAATGGAAACTCAGGGGGCAAACCAAATCATGGGATGAAGCCAAAGTGTTGGGGGGGGGGGGGGGATCTGAGCGCTCCCAATTAAGTAGCAAACTGCACACATGGTAGCCTACCTGCGGTCTACTACTTAGTCGTCCTCTGCCACTACTTGATAGGCTGATGATAAACTGCACATACAGCCCCTTGACACCATCCCTCCACCCTCCCAAGAAGCATCCCTCTACTATCAACTGTCTGCCTCCACTATCCCTACACTCACTTTCTACCAACTTCCTGCCATTCCTTACTTGACAGCTGTTACCGCATCTATCTTGATCGGCTACTCACCTGTAGGCTCCACCCCCTTGTTCCGCGCCACCCCGGTACTCCTCGCTGTTGTCTTTCCTGGTGAAGCCGGGTCCGTCGTCGCCATAGTAACCGGGCGCTCCGCCGTCATAATAGGACTGGTTCGGGGTGTAGAGCTCGTCCTCGCCTTCCTGAGGTGCCTCTCGCGAGTCCTCTCCTTCGCGCCTCTCGTCGTCCGCGTAGTAGCGCCCTGCGGCAATGGTTCATGTCAGACGCGAGCATTGGTCGAGCCATCTGTGATTGCTGGGGGCATAAAGCTGGCTGCGTATACGAACGGAGGCGAGTGGGTCCACATGTACGAATATAGCACAAGTAGCGTTATCAGCGCAATATAGTCCAATGGAGAGCTTCCTTACCACGCTTCACCATGGGGCTAAGATGGAACAAAATGGGTCGACTCTCTAAGAAGTATAACTTGACTCGTCAACAGCATAACTTGCCTGTTGATTTAAAACTCAATGAGCGAAGTTTTAGGTGCGCAAACCATGGCGCTTGATGAGAACAGGTGGCGATTTTTGTTTGAATCGGCGCTGTTTCTTTTGCCCGACTGATGGCGAGGCATTCCAGCCTAAGAGTGGGACGGGGCTTCCTTAGCATATCAGGACGGAGCGTGGTAAAGGTTCGAAAGAAACCGTCAATTTTCCAAAGTGTGCCTCCTGCACTTCTGCACTTGCAAAACCAGATGCTGGACAAACGTTTCATAGATGTGTTAGTATCGTGGAGATCGGCTACGAAGCATGTCCCGGGTGTATCTACAGCTTGAAACCTCCGCTCCACGGGATAAGATGCTGGGCACTGGATACAATGGATACGTCTCGCGTGCTCGCAATCGCCCGGCACCGCTAGCTTAGTCCCGCTCCCTGCGCGCCGGTGACCCGACCTCGACATGGGGTCACGAGGTCACGACCCAATCATGGCGCACCACGCAGGGCTGCGTCGCGGCGCGTGGCGGCGGTCAAGGTGACCTGACCCAGCGGTCCAGACCGTCCCGGACCTAACTGGACCGGCCAGGCCGGCCGACCCAGCATCCAGACTGCCGAGTGTATCATTAACACAGTTGCACGCAGACCAGTTCCAGTTGCGTGCAGGCAGTTCTGCACGCTTTCCACACAACGCTCAGAGGCGTTCAGAGACGGGCGCCTTGCACGGCACCCGTGTCCTTTACGTTTAACCAGACCCGTCACTCACCTCCGCTCTCCGGCTGCCGATAGAACCGGTCGTGCTGTATCTGATCCGGATGTGGCTCTCTGTAGTAGCCGCCCTCGCCGGCGTCCTCGGCCGAGTCCGGGTGGCGCGAGTCCGGCTCCCGGTAATAGCTGGGCCGCTCGCCCGGGCTCCGCGTGCAGCTGGGGTCGGCCGCCCGAGGGACGACTGGCGCCGCTCCTCGTCCTCTCCGGGGCGTCGCTCGGGGTAGCGTCGGTCCTCGTCCTCTCCGGGGCGTCGCTCGGGGTAGCGTCGGTCGTCGTCGCGCTCGTCGTCCGAGTCGACGTACCCCCGCTGGTCGTCGTCGGGGTGTCGCGACGCGTGGTACCGGTCGCCGTAGCTGCGTCGGTCGTCCTTCTGATGCCGCTCCTCGTCGTAGCGCCGCTCGTCGCCGCGTCGACTGTCGCCCGGCCTCCTTTCGTCGTCGCCGTACCTCCCCCCATCATCACGCCCGTCGTCGTGGACGTTTCTGTCGTCGTTGTAACGCCGTTCCCCGTCAGGCCCGTCGCCTTCTGGCCTCCTCTCGTCGTAGTATCTCCTCGCGTCGTCGCGTCTGCCCTCGTCTGGCCTCCGTTCACCGCGGTATCTTCGGCCGTCGTCTACCTCCTGCTCGCCAGCGGGGTAGCGCCGCCTCCCGCTGTCTCCCCGGTCTTCGTCGTGGTGTTCCGGCCTCGGGCGGCGCGGTGGCTGCGGCGGCTGACGGTAATAGCCGGTCACTTCGCTGGAGTCCTCCGATGGAGGCGGTCGCCTCTCCGCCTCCGGGCGCCGGCGGTCATCATCGCCGTATCTCCGGCCTCCGGTGCGACGATCGTCGTCATGAACACGCCGCCCGTCGCCATGTCGACGGCCTTCGTCGTAAGGGTAGCGATCTTCTGCGTAGCGACTCCCGCTGTCGGAATAACGACCATCAGGGACGCCTCCCGGTCGGCGACTGCCCAGGGACGGGTTCTGCTGATATCCCCCACGTCTGTCGTCCTCTTCCTGCTGCCTCCTGGCCTCCTCGCGTCTCCTGCTCTCCTCGGCCGCGATCAGCTCCTGTTGCTTCTGGCTCTCGTTGATCCTGACGCGCTCCTGATGACGCTCGTTCGTCTGAACCGGCCGTATTTCCGTGAACGAGCCCAGACTCTCGATTGCCCCGTCCCCATCCTCTTCACCGTACTGACCGCCATCGTCGAAGAACGAGTCATCCAGCTGGCGGCCCGCTGTGTCGTTTCCCGCCCCTCCCGCCGCCGTCGGAGCTGCCCGGGCGTACCGCTCCGCTGAGCTGTCGTAGCCCGGTCCCCAGGTCGGGATCGACGCGTCAGAGATGTAGTCGCTCTCGCGGCGCTCGAACGCTGCGTCGGTGTTGGCCGGAGACGGGAAGTGGTTGCCGAACTCGGCGTGCGAGCGGCGGCGGCCGAAGGCGTCTGTCTTCGGCGTCCGGTCGCTGGCGCCTCCCGCGTACGGCAAGCGCAAGAGGTGAGCTGGCCTCCGCTGGCGGGCCCACTCGATTCCGCCATCTTCGGGACGGTCGGTATCGGGTGCGCGGCGGTTCCACTTGGTGCTCTCCCACCTGGGGTTCTGATTTTCATCGTAGTCCTTTCTGTTGTAACCGGGTCTCTCCTGGTAGTCGGCTTCGTCATGTTCTTCCCGGTAGCTCGATAGTGGCTTGTGATGTCTGTGACGCTCGTCGCCATGTTGATCAGGAGCGGATTCAGAGCTTAGATCATCATCGCCATCCCGGTATCGGGAGTCATATTGATCATATTCGGCGCCGGACGCTTGCTTCTGTATCTTCTTGGTGTCGTCTTCCAAGCTGTTTGGAGCTTCCTCCTCCTCCGACCCAAACTCGGGAATGTCCACAAAGTTTGCCGGGTTGTGCGGGTTCCGCGGATATTCCTTTTCCGAGCCACCGAGCGGAAGAGACGCAACCTCAATCACGGAACGACCTAGCGCCGGCAGCCTCTCCTGTATGGAGGCGCTGCGGGTGGCAGCCTGGCGGCGGCGACGCACAGACTCGATCCTCTCCAGAGCTCCAGTGGACGGCGTCCAGCGGTACCGAGCGCCCTTCAGTCCTCGTGCCTTCCTCGGCCAGTCCACGATCTCGTCAACTTGCACCTCAGCCTGGTCTTCCGTCGCTGGTGGCACCTCGCTGCCGCGTTCGCCAGTGTCCAGCACTCTGCCTAAGTCGTCGTCGTTGCTGGACTCGCTCAGTGCTGCCCGCTTCTGGAGTCTGCGGTATGAGGGATCTTCTGGCGCGCGCACGTCGTACCTATCGTAACCCTCTCCCCGATTGCCTCTTTCCGGACGCTGGCGAGGGTGTTCTTCCGACCTGTAGTCTCGTCCCGCCCCGTACGCTTCGTCCTGCTCTGATCGAACGTAGCGCAGCTCCTCATTGCTTGGTAAGCGGTCTTTAGAAGGGTAGTAGTCCTTGGCAGCGTAACGCCCTTTTACGGTGTAGCGGTCTTTAGGGGTGTAATAAACGTTGGTTGCGTAGCGGTCGTTTCTAGAGTAGTCATTTTTCTGGTCATAGGTGTTATCGCTGGTCTTGGGCGAAGATGAAGGGAGGGGAATGGAGCTGGAGCGGGCGGCGGGCCGACGCTCAGGCCGGAAGTCCTCGTGGTCCTCGAGGACGGGCACTCGCACTTCTGCGTCCTCCTCAACATACTCATCATCATAATACTCCGGATAGTCCTCGTCATAGTCCTCCACGGAAATCGCCTTGTGCCGCCGCCTGCTGCCACCGCGCCTCCGTCCGTCGTCCTCCGCCCGTCCGCCGTCCTCGTAGTCCTCATACTGCGGTCGTGGGCGGCGCCGGCCTGCTCCCGCCGCTCCCCGCCGCTTTCCCTCCTCCTCTTCGTCGCCCTCGTCCTCGGCCGGGAAGAGCTGGCTGCCGTAGTAGCGATCATGCTCCTCCTCCTCCGCGTAGCCTCGCTCCACCTGCTCGTCGGTGGGCCGGATGTTGTAAGGGTCACCGGCGCGGTGGCCGTCGCCGTACACGTGGCGCGCCGCATGGTCGCGCGGGTAGCCGCCGTTCTCCCGACTCGCGTGGTGGTGCCCGTCGAACGCGCCGGCGTGCTCGAGCTCGTCCTCCGCGTACGGCTCGACGCGCGCGCGCGAGTAGCCCGCGCGCTGGAACGTGTCGTAGCGCGAGCGATGCTCCTCGACCGGCCGGCGGCGTCGTGGCTTGACGCGTCGCTCCTCGTGCTCGTCGCGGTACGACTCGGCGTGTCGATCGTGGCGCGACTCGTCCGCGCCGCGCCGCCGGCTCGGGTCCAAGTACGTGCCCTCGAGCGGCTGGCCCTGGAACGGGTGGCCGGGCAGCCAAGGCGCGCGACGCTGGCGCGCGCTGGCGGCGTACGGCGGTGGCGCAGCCGCGCGATTCCAGCTCCGGTCCGTAGAGCGGCGGTGGCGGCAGCGCCTCTGGCGGCGGCGGCGGCGGCGGAAAGCTTGGCCGGCGCTCCAGCAGACTGGTGCCGAGGTCGCGGATGCGCGACCCGAACGAGTTGATGGCGCTGACCGCGCGCGAAGAGAACGAGGGCGCGGGACCGGGGTCGGGGTACGCCGGAGCCGGACCGGAGTACGCCGGAGCCGGACCGGGGTATGCCGGTGCCGGACCGGGGAACGGACCGTCGGGGTCGGCGTGCCGTGGAAACGGAGAGGCGTAAGGGCCGTTGTAGGGCTCCTCAGCCTGCCGAGGCGGGTGAAACGGAGGCGCCCTCTGGTGCCCGCCTGTTGCCTCAGCCACCTGGTGGAAGATTTGGGAGTTACGATTGTGCTCCGCTAGTGGCACGTCACGGGGGTATCGGTACTGTAGCGTTAAGTTGCGCGCTTGGGATATATGAGATGTGGAGTTTGATTCCCACGGTAGCTGCCCTTCTTCCAGGGAGACAGACAGACGTCATCATATGACCTTAGCGCTTGTGTCGTAAATCCACAATGACTTGGCATGCGGTAAAACTGAGAGTTCCGTAGTAGGCTGGGCTGATTTTTTGACGCTTTTATAGTTGTTCAATATCCGCAGATGTGATCACTTTTGGGGTGAGCATCGGCAACAACGCCGTCCTATAGACAATAACTACTGCCGCAGGTCAGCCTTGCAGCACATTCCCTCTAGCCATTTTTACCCTCAAGATTGTAAAACTTCGTGACTCCTTTTTGCCCCTCAATCACGGTTTAGACACTTTAAACATCACCACTTCAGGTACCGTCACATATTCAATCTTCACGTGCCCCAAATGTTGTGCAAAGGACGGCTGGCAAATGTCATTTTCTTTTTTCACTTGCTGACCTGTGATTGGTCGTGCCAGCTGCCATGCCGACTCTCTGCTACTGGTTGGTCGATCCCCAGCTGGCCCAGAAGCGCCCTCTGCTCAGCAGAAATGGGGCTGTCCTCCAGCTCACGAAGAAGCAGAGACGTTCCAGCTTGGTTTGTCGAGTTTTCCGATGATATCACTGGTACACTGGTTACGCCATTGAGCCCCAGAAGCCAAGCTATCAGGGTAGTTTTGTAGAAATGCTGAAAAATCGCTGAATTTTAACACAGCAAGTGAGTATGCTTGTTAAGAACAAGCAAATTTCACGGATGCTCCTGTAAAACTGCGTTATTCCGGGTGATCTCAGTACCATCAGTTCCCCGGTGATTTGCAAACCACTGCGGACGTCATGCAGAAGAGGATTACGCACACATGTTGTCACGATCCGTATGAACAAAGTACAGAAATGCTGGATTTCGCAATGGCGCAATGAACGACTGGAACCGAAGAGTGAAGAGGCGCATGGTAATGGACAGTGCGCATGGATTTAGCGCACGTCTCCGCAAAATAATTGTAGGCCATCGATCTCAGAATTGAACACTGGAAAAAATGGGCTGGGTTATCACGCCATAATGTGGGATAATCTTTCCCATTATTACCAAATATCAGCAGCTATGACTTTCAACGTTTTGGTCTGCCCTTCACGACGCGACTACAGGTCAGATGTGACTTAACACGCGATCGGGTGGGGGTTAAATTGCCCCCCGAAAATTTTTCCGGAATGGTTTCCGAATGGCTTGGTGTAGCCGCGCTAAATTTTGCATGGCTGTAGACAATTGAATCACAGATCGTTTGGTATGAAACATTTTGATGTACCTTGTAAGGTCACTGACCTATGGAAGGTCAAAATCAGGCCATGGGAACAGCGAGGCCAATTTCTAGGGAATCGTTCAATCTGATCCAACAGCGGAGTGTTAGACGAAGCCAGACATCTCTGAGATACTTTCTTAGGCAACACAACAATGGAATAAATAAATGACACTGACCAAAGGTCAGTGATGAAGGTCAGGCTAAGGTCGAAATCAGCCTCCTTTATTACTCTAGGACTTGCTCTATGAGGTAATTTCTGGTGCTCATGTCGAATTTATTGCTGACAGGAACCGCATTATGCACCTTTCATAGACTTCTTAAACGCCAGAAGAGGTCACTGAGCTAGAATGACCCAGATCAACAATTCGTCTTTAGGAACATACTGCTTAGTGTAATCGACGTCGCTTGTTTAAATGCAAAACTCAAAGTGATCTTGCATGACTTTGGTCGCCACGACATTCGAAAGGTCAAACGAGGTCACAAGTGAGTTCACGTACAGTTCAACACACTCTGTGAATTTGGTGTCTCTAAGTCTCTCAGTTCCTGAGATCTCAGGGACGCGAAATTGACCCCCACGCGAGCGAAGGGTATCCAACCGGCCACCCGGGGGCGTGTTAAGCCCACGCTGTTGTTGAGAGAGATTATTGAGGCCTAAGTGGTTGACGCGGTCTTTAATACACATCTACGGCATGGCGTAGCAGCTTGAACATTGCTTGGCAATGTGACACACACAGAGCTATGCAATACATCCCAAATTGCACGTGCACAGTCAGGTTTAATAAGACGCCCACCCATTTTCAGACCTAAAGAGGCGTGATCTAGCCAACCCAAGGGGTGCCGGTGTCGGGACTGATGACCATGTTTGCGGATGGTGTATTCCACGGGCACATGCCGTTTGCCACTTCATGCCCTTGATACTATCTCTGATGAGCCACAAGTATCCGACGCTGGTGATAATGTGATCTCGCCATCCGTAAACATCGTGCTTATCCAATAGGTCGCACAATACTTCGCTGCAAAGCCAAGTCGTGCCGGGCTATTTCTGCGCTTCTAAAAATACGTCATGAAATTGCGCATGTGCTCAGCTGTTTTCACCACAAAGATATCCGATGAGAGATGGCAGCCTTGGCTGTCAAAGCACCGGTGAACCAATGGATGAACTCTTACCATTTTCAGCTGTGTGTCATTCCCCTCCTAGCCACAGACAGCAGACCCGCTGCACGCACTTCACCACAGTGCGCTAGATGAGAGCAAACCGCGGCCAAAACCGCAGCGTACTGCGGTGTTTCGCGCTCACCACTGGCGCACTTCGCGGCGGGTTAGCGTTTTAAGCGGCGGTTTCACCGACCGTCGGGCACGAATGAGCTGCGCCAGCGAGCGGCACGACGAACGTGGCGCGGTCGTTACGGGGTGAGAGACGATCGTGGCGCGGGGCGGCGGAGCGGCGCGGCGGCCGTGCCCGGCCCTTGCAGGACCGCCAGCGAGAGTGCATGACTTCGGCCAGGCTCGTGTTCCTGGTGCCGTGGTCTTTAGCGCAACGCCTTGCTGTCTTGCAGATTATGGTAAGCTAACGTTTTGAAGATTGCAACCAGGGAGTGATCCACCTGCGGTTACTGTATAAAGGGTAGCTAGGATAGGACGTGGATGCAGGACAACAGGGATTTACCTGCCAAGGGTCCTCAAGAAGGAGGACCGCAAGAGCTGACGAACGATGATGTATTTAACTGTACTAACTATCCGGAAATGTAGCAACTTCTGTGAGATGGGCAGGTTTGCCGCCAAAAGCATGTTCAAGGTCATACTCGTTTTTTCCAGCGTCATCGGTGCTGTAATTTGAATGTTCCTAGCCATCGGTGTAGCTTCACCAGTGCATGGACTGGGCGCATACATTAACACACATTGCATGCACTGGATGCATGCAATAATACACATTACATGTGGTCGACGCAGACATTATTATACACAACGCACAAAGCAAGCATCTGAACCTAAAGCTGGTGAAAACCAAATACATTCATATAGTGAAAGTTCATTTTTGATTTATAAATATGAATCTAAATTTCATCTAAACTCCCACAATTTCAAGGACGTCTGGACAGGAACGAGATAAACCGCGGGTAGGAGGTATCCACAGGCGGCCAGGACACGAGGGGGAAGTGGAGTGCCATCCAGCCTGACCTGCGCGCTGGTCATCCCGGCGGGAGGTGGTCTCCACACGCCGCACCAGGCCCAGCGTGGGGCGTTCAGGGGGCGCGTCCGTGCGGCTTCTCAGGGGGGCAGGGCAAGGGAGGGGCTTTCAGGACGGAGGACGTCCAACCTTACCAGGTGCGTCGCTCTGAAGCCTGACCTTACCAGGTGCTTCGCTCTGAAGCCTGACTTTACCAGGTGCGTCGCTCTGAACCCTGACCTTACCAGGTGTGCCGCTCTGAACCCATGCAGCCCGCCGTGAGCAGCCATGATCTACCTGGTATGCAAACTGCTTGACCCTCGTTCAACTTCGTTCAGCTGAACTCAAATCGAATCAACTCAAGACGGTTCCAAAATTGGCTGCGGCCGCTCACGAGCTGGTGACGCGGAAACGATCGCCGCACGGTGGCTGCCGGCCCTTTCACTCGGTTCCGGCCGGCTGCCACGCACGCCGCCAGCCGCGGGTCGGACACCGCTTCAGGTTTCGCGCGCCCCGCCACGGTGCGCCGCATTTGCCGGGATCTGCGTGGCAATGGTGTGGTTCATCGGAACGGCACGGGAAGACAGAAGCGTTTAAGGAGAAAACGTTGGTTTTACAACGGGGAATCCTCGCGGGACTTTTTCCTCCGGTTTAAAAGAAGTCGTCGTCATGCACAGCTGTTTAATCGTTCATATTTTTCATATAGGTTATGATAACGAATTGCATTGACTAAGCTAAAACCGGCCAGTTTTCAGCAACGTTATCGACTTTATAACACTATTCACAAAGTAAAAAGGAAGTCCCAGGATGACGTTACTCGCGTGCCTTTAACACTTGATGTTTCGCACCCAGAATCGACCTCTGCTGACGACAGATCGCTTCGGCTGGATTCGGCGCCGGGAATTCTGACCCAGCCCGAGGTTTCTCGTGTAGCACTCACAGGCTAATGGGGCTAGTTAAGCTCCATCATGTTGCTCCTGCCTATGGCTGAACAACGTAGTGTAGTGTTACTCTTAACTGGTCATAAATTAATACCAGTCATGTGCTGGGTGTCTT